TGTAGGTAGCTATATAGAAGTTGGATGTACAAATTATATTATATATTATTGTTATACAGTGGCACAACCGGGTAATCCTTAAGCGGAGTGAGAATGCTAGAAAATTGTTTTAATCGTCACGTAGGTATATATATAAATATTTTATAATCTTATATTATTAGGTAGGTATATATTATAAATTATAATCTATCATTGATAATACAAAAATACAATGTGCAATATTCCCTAATACAWGTTTTATTAGGTACTTTTAACCATAAAAGTATAAAACAGACGCGAAGATGTTTTATAATAATATTGCAATAATTAGCGATCCATATMTATTATCGGTAAAAGCTCATTATATTAAAAAAACAGAAACTGAATCTTACAAATACGAAAATTTCGGCACWTCCTAGTTGAGCCACTAACACTTAGACACTCTGTACTATAATACTAGTTGAGTCCCGAATTATTTTAGGCGAGTAAAAYAAATATAAYACGTTTAAAAAACATCAACACTTTTGTGTAATTCAAAACTATTTTAATGGTTCTCTCAATAATTATTGATGTATAATGTAAACACTTCACTCTGTGTMCCGTTTATAACCTGTAAAAGTAATCAGTGGATTCGATTTTATAAAATTAATACCTTACCTACACATTTTTACCAACACAAAAACGATTTTTTAAATAGATTTTCAACATTTTTGTGTAGTTCTTGCCGAAAATAATCTAGAGCCCAATTTATATAGGAATTTTAATTTTGGGACCAAACTCGGATGCAGACGAAAAAATACTTATTTCAAAACTTAGATAAGGTATACCAACTATTTCGTTGATACCTATCAAAATTAMYACGACTAATTGTCAATTAAAAATTGTCAAACACAATATCTAATTCATAAAATAAAATATGTTGTGTAATGTACGTTAAATCTTTATAGGAGAATGATGTTTTCTGATAAGCTTMAAATAATTTGATAATTTTCCACGCCTTAACACTGATAGGGTGAGAATATCGGACCCGAAATCCACCCCCTCGCGAATGCGCCTCTGTATTAATATAATATTATATACGCCCGTAGAGATAGGCATGTGGATACAGTGCAGTTGAAAGTTAATCGTATGTAAGTGAATTCTCCTGTAGACGAAGTACACTATTGCAAAATATAGATATTTWTTTTTTTAAATTTGCAAGGTACAATCATCGCTAATTTTATATACAAAATATGTAAGGCGCTACACAATACCCACCATTATGCATTCATTAGTTAGGAAAAGGAAATCTTTGTAGAAAAGAAAATTCGAATCGATATAAAATCGGTCAGTTGTAGTTAACATAACTTTGGTATTTCTATTTATATATATATACAGGGTGATT